GTTAGTGTCAATGAGTAACGGGAAGCGTTTTTTTCCATCAGAAAAGCAAGAATAAGCAATATCTATGCCAAAGCATTGTAAAAGGATGTCGCTAGAAAATCGTAACGAACCAAGGTGCTTTAATGCTACAATACACTTAGCTAAGCCAACTTATCGATTTCACCGTGGATAAACCTGTGCTGCAAGCTTGATAGCCATGAGCACTTGCCATTATACACAGGAGATTATAAAATCAGGCAAATTGAAATGCTATTTTAGAAAAATCGTCATTATTAATATCAAGGAAATTGTGTTTATTTAAGTCATAATAAATGTCCACTGCAAACCTATATTAGGTTAATATAGATGTTTTTGCAACTCGCCAGGTTAATAAAAATATTTTTGTAACTCCTCAGGTTAATATAGATGTTTTTGCAACTGCTCAGGTTAATAAAGATGTTTTTGTAACTCCTCGTGTTAATATTGATGTTTTTATAACTTCTCAGGTTAATATAGATGTTTTTGTAACTCTTTTGTAACTCCTCACATTAATATAGATGTTTTTGTAACTGCTCAGGTTAATATAGATGTTTTTGTAACTCCTCACGTTAATATAGATGTTTTTGTAACTCCTCTGGTTAATGCAGATGTTTTTGTAACTCCTCAGGATAATATAGGTGTTTTTGTAACTGCTCACGTTAATATAGATGTTTTTGTAACTCCTCAGGTTAATGTAGATGTTTTTGTAACTTCTCAGGTTAATATAGATGTTTTTGTAACTCCTCAGGTTAATATAGATGTTTTTGTAACTTCTTTAGGTTAATGTAGATGTTTTTGTAACTTCTCAGGTTAATATAGATGTTTTTGTAACTTGTTTCATTATCTAAAAAAGTGACATCTGAGTTTAACATACCAGTGAAACAAAAATCAATAAACATTTAAAAGCAAAATTAATAAGCCTCACTCTTAAGGGGTCTCACCAACCTTCCAAAGCAGTGTTGCTAATCAGAGATACATATATACAGAAATTATTCCAATTTGACTAGGGATGCTCTTTACCAAATTTGGTTTAAATTCCTCAATTTGTATGAGAGGAGAATAATTTTAAACTTTCAAACATCCCTACATTCCCCCTATTGGGCCCTGCCCCTCTGCCCCTAGGAGGGACATACTCACTGTTTATACAAAACTGAGTCCCATTCCCTTTTCCTTTCCCCATGGATGCTCTGGACCAAATTTGGTTAAAATCCCTCCAATCACACTAAAGGAGAAGGATTTCATGTAACATGTATCATTTCATTATCCCCCCCCCCCCCCCACCCCACAAGAGGGACAACACTCTCAGTTTCTACAAAATTGAGTTCCCTCTTGCAAATGATACTCCAAATTTAGTTAAAATCTCTCTTATGGTATTGAAGGAGAAGATTTTTAAAAATATTTACCTCAAATTTCCCTATTTAGCCCCCTCCCTCTGACCCCCCCCCCCCTTCCAGGGGGCCACATTCTCTGTTTATACACAATTGAGCCCCTCCCCTTTGACCAAGGATACACAGTGCCATTCAGGACTAGTATGAGTAATAGTTCTTTTTTAAGGCAATGTTGACGGACCAACAACAGACACCATGCCATGGCATAAGCTCACCAGTCCTTTGGACCAGCCAGGTGATACCAGTTACATAGATAATAAGTATGAATATATCAGACACCTGATGCCATTCTCAGATACCTTTTACTGTATACTTAAACACAGGCTCTCCTAGAGATCTATGTACTCAATGTGATATATATTTATGGGAATGACTTGCAAACACATGCTTTGCAAAAAAAGAACATACTTTTGATCAATTTTAAAACATGCCACTTAAATCTACTATATAATTGTACCTGAAGAAATCAATACGCTATTGTACATTTAGTATTGTCTCATACGTGTAAACCTTCAGTGGAATACAACAGACACACAGGGACAGTTATAGATCTTAAAAGGGAATAGAAAAGAAAGAGTAATGAAAAAGAGACAGAACAGATAAATCACATATTGAGAGGAAACATGTGTGCCATCCTTTTGTCTGTGGGATTTATAAAACAGATATATCAAGAATTATTTGGGACCCTTACTAGCTCAGGGCCCAGCATAAAGTATACCGTACAGAATACCTAAGGCCCATCAACCTGGTCGTCCTAATTTATTTTGGACTTTGAGGAACCGTCTGGGCTCTAACCCTCACTGATGGTGGTTAATCTATGTGAACACTGCTCCCGTTTAAATGGGACACTATGATTAACACTCAAAGCCCCTTAATATTTGTATATATAAACCATCATATTTACCCTAACACAAGTTGTCCTATGTACTTGGAAATGTCATAAAGAGTTATGTCCCTTGGTCTAACCTATATACATCTATCCTACGTTTAAAGAATTAAGCCCTTGGTCTTACCCATGTATATAATCTATATACCCTACACTGTATATAGTTATGTCCCTTGGTCTGACCTATATATACATTATTTATCCTACGCCTAAAGAGCTATGGCCCTTGGTCTAACCTATATATACATTATTTATCCTACGCCTAAAGAGCTATGGCCCTTGGTCTAACCTATATATACATTAAATATCTTACGGTCTAACCCCCTCATATGCATTATATATCCTACGCTTACAGAGTTATAGCCCTTGGGGTGGGGGTGGGGGGATGTATGGGGGAAATGTAAGATGATTCCATGTGTGACACATACTGTATTTGTGGGAAGGGTAGGACAATAGAGATCTAGAGACAAATGGAAAAACTTAACAAATGAATTGCATGAGTAATTATTATAAACAAAATATAAGATGAAATGTGTTTGTCATTGCATCATACTCTACCTCAACAAACATCTCATAAGTATATTTACCATCATACTCTATCTCAACAAACATCACATAAGTATATTTACCATCCTACTCTACATCAACAAACATCTCATAAGTATATTTACCATCCTACTCTACCTCGACAAACATCGCATAAGTATATTTACCATCCTACTCTACCTCAACAAACATCTCATAAGTATATTTACCATCACAATCTACCTCAACAAACATCTCATAAGAATATTTACCATCCTACTCTACATCAACAAACATCTCATAAGAATATTTACCATCCTACTCTACCTCAACAAACATCGCATAAGTATATTTACCATCCTACTCTACCTCAACAAACATCTCATAAGTAGATTTACCATCATACTCTACCTCAACAAACATCTCATAAGTATATTTACCATCATACTCTACCTCAACAATCATCTCATAAGTAAATTTACCATCACACTCTACCTCATCAAACATCTCATAAGTATATTTACAATCATACTCTACCTCATCAAACATCTCATAAGTATATTTATCATCATATTCTATCTCATCAAACATCTCATAAGTATATTTACCATCACACTCTACCTCATCAAACATCTCATACGTATATTTACCATCATACTCTACCTCATCAAACATCTCATAAGTATATTTACAATCATACTCTACCTCATCAAACATCTCATAAGTATATTTACTATCCTACTCTACCTCAACAAACATCTCATAAGTATATTAACCATCACACTCTACCTCATCAAACATCTCATAAGAATATTTACCATCCTACTCTACCTCAACAAACATCTCATAAGTATATTTACCATCATACTCTACCTCATCAAACATCTCATAAGTATATTTATCATCATATTCTATCTCATCAAACATCTCATAAGTATATTTACCATCATACTCTACCTCATCAAACATCTCATAAGTATATTTACCATCATACTCTACCTCATCAAACATCTCATAAGTATATTTACCATCATACTCTACCTCATCAAACATCTCATAAGTATATTTACCATCATACTCTACCTCATCAAACATCTCATAAGTATATTTACCATCATACTCTACCTCATCAAACATCTCATAAGTATATTTACCATCATACTCTACCTCATCAAACATCTCATAAGTATATTTACCATCATACTCTACCTCATCAAACATCTCATAAGTATATTTACCATCATACTCTACCTCATCAAACATCTCATAAGTATATTTACCATCATACTCTACCTCATCAAACATCTCATAAGTATATTTACCATCATACTCTACCTCATCAAACATCTCATAAGTATATTTACCATCATACTCTACCTCATCAAACATCTCATAAGTATATTTACCATCATACTCTACCTCATCAAACATCTCATAAGTATATTTACCATCATACTCTACCTCATCAAACATCTCATAAGTATATTTACCATCATACTCTACCTCATCAAACATCTCATAAGTATATTTACCATCATACTCTACCTCATCAAACATCTCATAAGTATATTTACCATCATACTCTACCTCATCAAACATCTCATAAGTATATTTACCATCATACTCTACCTCATCAAACATCTCATAAGTATATTTACCATCATACTCTACCTCATCAAACATCTCATAAGTATATTTACCATCATACTCTACCTCAACAAACATCTCATAAGTATATTTACCATCATACTCTACCTCAACAAACATCTCATAAGTATATTTACCATCATACTCTACCTCATCAAACATCTCATAAGTATATTTACCGTCATACTCTACCTCAACAAACATCTCATAAGTATATTTACCATCATACTCTATCTCAACAAACATCTCATAAGTATATTTACCATCATTTTGATTTGTAAATTTTCATATGAAATAAAAAAAAAAGTAACATCTACAAGAAAGATTTAACACCCAGTCAGCCATATATCTGATATCAAGATCTAAGAAATCCTAGATCAACTTCATCCTTGCATTAATACGTGTCTAGTTGACTTATAGCAATATAGTGGCATGCATACATGATAGATATTAATTAAACAATTACAAGTGTACAAATATTGTATAGATCCAAAACTTGTTATTACATAAAATGATAATTTCTACACCAGGTCAACCTAAGGTCCTTGGAGGTCATGCATCAACTGTTCATAAATAAAAATGAAACAAAATTAGATTGAAACATTGTATGAAGAATATTCAGGATGCAAGTGTTATGTTGAAGGGGTTCAATTATTGGCAGTATCGGGGAATTCTTGGAGATTTTTTTCATACCAAAAACAAATATATAAATGTACATATAAAAAAAGTCTATTTGAATTTTAAAGCTTTTTCATTATATGACATGTGAAGCAGATGTTTAAATCTCCTTGTCCCTAAACCAGTCACTATAGTCAAGAGACTGCGTAATAAAATCAAACATCTCCTTAATGATACATGGGGCTGTTTAATTTGAAGCATCTTCGTTGTTCATTATCAGCTTTTCAAACAGATGTTACTCGTTCTGTGTTTGTATTAGTCCGTGCACACGCTAATTACGAGGAAGTACTCGGTATTACTTAACACAAGTTTATATTCGTTACTTCAAAAGAACGTATAGGTAGCGACATTCCTTTAAAGTTATGGGAGTGATGTCATTGGTTAGTTGGTGGCCAGTAGGTATAGGAGATACTTCCGGGATACTGCCAATACAAACAGTTATCGGGTAAATAGATCTGGTTGCGTGTCAGTGCTACAGTAGTGATTAGCGGCTCTGTACAATGGGTCTCCTAACACCACCATTACCTATCTCTCAGGGTTCAAGATGGCACCAACCATGCATAACAACCCATCCCATTTATTTATTGACGAAATACAAATTAATAAAAATAATTCAAACAAAATTTCGTATTTTTATTTTCAGTTCGAACATTTTTTCCATCAATGATCAAGCCAGCTTATTCATAATTGATGAAGGTTATGCAAATAAAAAAAATATACAATAGCGTATCATGTTAGTCGTTATTGAAAATGGGTTGTGATCAGTGGTGTTTTCTGAGAGCTAGTGTAATACAGATGCCAACGAAATTAACTCTTTACAACATTCTGAGGTTCAAAATTGTAAGAGATTAATAGGAAACTTAATAAAAATGATTTATAAAGAAAATAATGCATGCCAAGTAAAATGATAATTATGTTTTAATTGATTACTTTATACTGTAAAGCAAGCATTATAAAGTTCCTGTTATATGATTGGCCTATAGGAGAGGTGTACAACCAGATATATCTAAGTGTTTTATACAGGTCTATTGTGCCAGTGGTGCCATTAAGATTAGTAAAAAAGAGAAACAATGCTTAAAGATTCCAGGCTAGCCTACCTCCAGGCGGTACCCTCCCCAGTTCATCAGCTGTGAATAGAGCATACAAACAATGATTATAAGTGATACAGGTAGAATACAGGTACATGTATATCTATCACACCGCAGGTTTTGTTACCTTTGACAGGTAAAACACAGGTGTAACAATCTCACTGAACGCTTTGCTACCTTTTACAGGTAAAATACAGGTAAAGCTATCACACTGTAGGCAATGTTACATTTTCCAGGTAAAAATACAGGTAAAACTATCACACTGCCATCTCTATTACTTTGTATAGGTAAAATAAAGGCAATTTCTCACGCTACAGGGTTTGTTTCCTTTTACAGGTAAAATACAGGTAAAACTATCACACTGCCATCTCTAATACTTTTTATAGGTAAAATAAAGGCAATTTATCACACTGCAGGCAATGTTACATTTTACAGGTAAAATACAGATATATTACTATCACACTGCCATCTCTATTACCTTTTATAGGTAAAATACAGGTAATCTATCACACTAAAGACTTTCTTACTTTTATAGGTAAAATACAGGTGTTACAGTGTACTATCAAACTGCCTTTTCTATTACCTTTTACAGGAAAATTACAGGCGAATATATCATACTGTAGGCAATGTTACATTTTCCAGGTAAAAATACAGGTAAAACTATCACACTGCCATCTCTATTACTTTGTATAGGTAAAATAAAGGCAATTTCTCACGCTACAGGGTTTGTTTCCTTTTACAGGTAAAATACAGGTAAAACTATCACACTGCCATCTCTATTACTTTTTATAGGTAAAATAAAGGCAATTTATCACACTGCAGGCAATGTTACATTTTACAGGTAAAATACAGATATATTACTATCACACTGCCATCTCTATTACCTTTTATAGGTAAAATACAGGTAATCTATCACACTAAAGACTTTTTTACTTTTATAGGTAAAATACAGGTGTTACAGTGTACTATCAAACTGCCTTTTCTATTACCTTTTACAGGAAAATTACAGGCGAATATATCACACTGCAGTCATTGGTCCCTTACACAGGTAAAATTCAAGATACCAGTGGATAAAAGATGTTGATAAATAATAATAGTTTATGTTTCATATCAGTGAAATTATGTACAGTCGGTGAAGGAGTATCAGTCACTGAGTATGGAGAAATCATTTAAGTTTTTTAAGTAGACTATGCTCACCAGCACTCTCACAGTTATAATGGCCTTTGTAGATCTTCAAATGACCCAACAGAATAAGCTAGCCCAGGATTAGAATGTAATTGTGAAGATTGCTCACATTCAATGCCTGGTGCCACTTTCTAGGAGTTCTTTCTAATTTCCCAGATATTGAATGATGACATTTTAACAGAAAAAAAACCTGAAGAAAAACTAACAATTTTGTCTTTTGTAATGAATTTTGTATAATCATTGTCACTTGTGACGTTATACTGGAGTATACGGGTTACAGAATGAAAAGTTGATGATCATAAGTTAATATTGCAGGGAACAGTACTTACTCTGGAGTACAAACTCATGATATTTAACATAAATGTTATCTCCTCTTAGCATCTTACATCAGATTCTCAAAATGAGGAGGAATAACTCAATACCCTTATCAATGTCAGCCTAGTTATAACCTCACAGTAAAATGAGACATTACGTTATTTTAGAAAATGATCTTGATGAACAATAAACACCACATTTGGTGTAATTTGAGCTAATTTCAGCCGCTAAGTGGTACAGTGGCTGAGCTTTGTGGCAGACATCCTCTGGAGGACATTGCCCAACGGTTGGAGTGTGTCGTTAACCTAAAATCACAGCTTCAGTATTGACAGTCATCAACTGGCACAAATAATCAGACAACTTCATTGTCAAAGATGACAATAATGGTAAAATAGCTTGGCTCTATTGTGTGTGAGGGTTTGCCAGTCTAGGGCCACTTAGCTACTGACAGCACTTTCTCTGTCATACATCAAGGTTCAGTCAGTAAACGGCCCTGATCAGCTGTCTACAAATGTATCATCTACGCCCTGATCAGCTGTCCATGAATATTGTCACCTACGCCCTGATTAACTGTCCATGAATATTGTCACCTCTAGCCTAAGCAGAAGTCCACACAAATGTGTCTTTTTTCACCCTGATCAGCTGTCTACGAATGTGGTACCTCCATCCTGATCAGCTGTCTACGAATGTGGTACCTCTATCCTGATCAGCTGTCTACGAATGTGGTACCTCCATCCTGATCAGCTGTCTACGAATGTGGTACCTCCATCCTGATCAGCTGTCTACGAATGTGGTACCTACATCCTGATCAGCTGTCTACGAATGTGGTACCTACATCCTGATCAGTTGTCTACGAATGTGGTACCTACATCCTGATCAGCTGTCTACGAATGTGGTACCTCAATATGACCTGAGCATCTAACCTCGAATATATAACCCCACCTATATAAGTGTTCATGTATATATCACCACCAGCCGAATTAGTTGTTAGCAAATGTGGCAACTCTGGTCTTATCAGCTAAGAACAATGAGAGATCAAACCCTCTACCAGACTATAGGTAAACCGATCTAGAGGATACATGTCTAACCCTTCAGAAGTCAAACCGTCCAGAGACCAGACAATCAACCAGATAACAGATTACCAATCCAGGTCAAAACATCCAGAGGTCAAATCATCCATTAGTTAAACCATCCAGAAGTCAAACTATCAACCAGATAATAGGTCATCAATCCAGAGGTCAAATCATCTAAAGGTCAAACCATCCAGAGGTCAAATAATCCAGTATTCAAACTTTCCAGAGGTCAAACTCTCAACCAGAAAATAGGTCACCCATCAAGGTCAACCCATCAAGAAGTGAAAATAAGAGCATCACATCTTTATCAATGGCAACTCCATTATATCACCTCAATATATCCTGTTATATTATAATCCACATCACATGTTACATACAAATCTACATGATATATCCTTTGCTATATTACCTGTCTAACTATAAAGTCGCCAACATAAGGTGGCATGTCCTATAAATACAGCTTTCCTTCATTACATATAATTACAAAACATCTTCAGTTGAAATTAGTGCTCAAGAACCCTGATACACTGTTGTTGTATAGTATCTACGACATCACTGTTTTTGTATAGTACCTATGACATCACTGTTTTTGTATAGTATCTACGACATCACTGTTTTTGTATAGTATCTATGACATCACTGTTTTTGTATAGTACCTATGACATTACTGTTTTTGTATAAAATCTATGACATCACTGTTTTTGTATAGTACAGTTGTGGGACCGCACAACGCACCAAAAATAGCGTGCGCNAAATCTATGACATCACTGTTTTTGTATAGTATCTACGACATCACTGTTTTTGTATAGTACCTATGACATCACTGTTTTTGTATAGTATCCATGACATGATATAAAGTAACTGTGACAACCTAATTGTAATCTGTACCAGAGGGTTTATATAACACAATACGCCATTACAATACGCCACAATACGCCATTATTATCTGTTCATGTATAGACTTTCTGTCTGCCATGCTAACATGATTTCTATGTGTGTTATATAGTTTCAGTAATAAACAGGCTTAACACAAAATCCATACGTATTGATCTGTAATATATGGTATCATCTATTTTGATTTAATATACCTAAATATAACCGAGATGAGATACTCCCACAAACCTGACGCTAACGATGAAAGGCTCCGTCACGTTATCTGCCGATTGTACTTGTAACCATGCCATAGGCTACCCATAATCATTAAACTTGGGGGATAATTACCAAAAATTGCAGCCATTTTCAAAGTTACTGCACATAATTTACGCATTGATTTTTCACAAAAGGACCACTTTTCACAGGGATATGTGTCACAAACAGTGACTGTCAGTAACACGACGTGCTGCACAGGCCACGTATAGGCATCAAGATAATCGCCATTGACAACGCTTTCTGTCACCCTCCGTTTTTAAAAAAAAACTTGTACTACAAATCTCCTTATTTTTAACAGGACCCTTAAGGAGGCTCCACTCTTTCGCAATTAGCCAGCGGAATTCAATGTCAATATGTAGAGATGATTTTATGAAAATCTAAACATTCCGATAAACTGGGTATTTATTTTGTGAAAAATACCGACTTTTTTTTTTGGTCAAATTCAACACTTTCACATTTTTTGAGTGTGTGGCATTGTTCAAAACTATAACATCAATAAAATAATAAAAAGAAACATTGCTAATCAACGCAATACGGAATGACGACACGAAAATACGACAAGAAAAACGTGTGTATTACGAATGGTGGAAAGTCCTTAAAACCTTATATCACTTCTCTGTAATCTTTGTTGTTGTGGTTGTCTTCTAATTAAGAAGACATTTTCAAGAAATGAACAGCTTTCAGTTGGCATTCATTGTCAATATGTATGCCAACTTCATGTTGACTTTGTCAAGCTCAAGTTGACATTCATGTTGACTACGAATGCCATCCGAAAAAGTGTGTTCAATTCTTGTATTTTTTTCCCCTCAAAATTTAACCTCATATAAATTTGATTTATTTGTCGAAGTTTAGAATCCAGTTCCAATAAGTGTAAGCATAGTGTATACAATAGAACAACCATGTTTCAGCGAAGGTCAGTGGTGTCCAACAATACATGTTGATGTAAATATAAGTGCTGTAACATTCATAGCTATATGAACGCCTTCTTGACCAATATAATATACTTAGTGGTAAGGTTATATAGTGGCAGTACCGTAGAGTTAATATTGTGTGTTATCCTCCTGTGGTTGTCTCTTTCAAACCACGAATACATCTTGTTTCTTGTTTTCCTGTTGTTGAATTCTATGTATAGCATTTTGAGAATTTAATTGACTTGAGAGGATTTCATCTTCCACTATTCTTTCATTGAGTGTTGAGTGGGTAAGCTGTGTCATCATGCAATAAAGGTTGCACTGAAAACATACAGAGCTAGCTGTTTCTAGGGGGACAGCACTAAATACATACAGAGCTAGCTGTTTCTAGGGGGATAGCAGTAAA